TCCTTAAGCAGTGGTGCAGGTACAGCTTCTTTAGCTCAGGTTTGTTATGGTGTTTGTGCTTGTTTGAGCCTGCTGGGCTCTTCCATGGGTTGACCACTCTCCAGCTGCTTACCTATGCAGCACAGCAACCCACTGCTCTTCCCTGGAAAGCACCCCCATCCATCAGCCCGGTGACTGTGTCCTGAGAGATACAGCAAGGAGCATCCTCCTCCAGCCTGGAGTCCCTCTGCCAGACACACTGGACACAACCAACCCTCTGACAGCGGAGTGTCCCAGCCCCCAAAGCTGGAGCAGGGGGGAGGTCCCAGGAGCAGAGGATGTCCCGCTATGGGTGACCTGCTCCCTGGGGCGGTGAGGCTGTCAGAGCAAAGAGGGAGCCAGCCGTGAGCACCTCTGTTGTGCTCCCCCAGCTGTCCCTGTGGCCAGCCATGTAGAGAAGATTGTTGGCAGCTAGCACCCAGGTAACTGCGATGCCTTCATCAGTGCCAGCTTCCCAAGAGCAGCAAACCCCAGGTTGCTAAAGGGAAAAACACTTTTTAAATTAATTGCACGGGGCCCCTGAAACCGCTGCCCGACACTTGGCAGCCAGAGCAGAGGACCAATCTCCTTTACGTTCCTTCCGTGTTCACTGTCACTCTGCAAGTCATCTTCGTCATTTGTCAGTGCCACGGGGGCCCCGCGGGTGCCCCGGGGGCTGTGGTGTGTGTTGCACAGAAATGACCCATCCTGCTCACAGTCCTGGGGCCTGGGGTGATGCCCCAGCAGCTGGTGGCACCAGGGTCACCTTTCAGCGGGCGCCCACCATGGCCTTGTGCCACCCACCCAAACTGGTCCCACCAAAACCACAGGGACCACTGACGGCTGCATGTCACCGCTGATGCGAGGCGGGCGCAGGGGCCATGCACCTCCTGCAGCCAGGGGGCACCCCCCCTGCCCCTCACAGCGAGCAGCACCCATGGGCTGCCCGGCCTGGGACAGCACAGGGGAAAACATGGTCCTTGTCCCTTGTGGTGAAGGTTGAGGAAAGCGGCTGGGCTCGATGGCACAGCTACAGGCTGGTCTGTGCCTGTGCTCATCCCGCTAAGGCCCCTTGCTTTCCTCAGGGTAGGCCTTCAGGACAGCACGCCTACTGCAACCAAGAGGGCCATGCTAGTGGTCTGGCAGAGCTCATCCCTGCTCCAGGGAGGGATAAAGTCCCTTCATTGACCCGTACACAAGTGTCTGAGTCCGGACTTCCAAAACCAGGCAGCTCCAGCCTAGAGGTTCAGACCAGGACAGACTTCAGGAGGCATCTTCCAGCCTCCTGCCTCTCTGACTTGCTCCCTAGAAAATGCATGGCCATCCGAATCTCTGGAAGGGCACTCGCTCTTCTTCACATCCCTCTGGCACTCCAGGAGTAGACAGCAGCTCTGCATGTCTCCTCTAGCCTCTTCCCTGCTTCTCGCCAGTGCCGGAGCCCATGTTTTCCTGGGCTGGGCACAGCGGGCAGCTCACACGTGTGATGCCCTGCCGGCTCTCTCCGGCGTGCTAGGGCATGCTCTGCCTACAAGCAATGGCAGTGCCGCTGAAAAGCCTCCTGGCAAGGAATTGGACGTATCAGCACCTGGTTTAGTCACTTCAAAACAATCTGGTTAGTAAGAGGGAGACGAGGGAGGAAGACTGTACCCCAGGCAGAGATTGCACATGGAAATACCGATGAGATGACACTGTTCTCTGAGAAGTATTGGAACAACTGGAGGAGCAATAAAACACCGCAGTTTCCATCCACTCGGCTGTATCCCATGGACAAAGAAAAGGCAGGGATCTTATTGGAAGTCACATCTGATTCGTATCTGTCTGGCCTGGATCAGTTCTGATGCTGAGGAGAGACAGGCTGAACCCTGCCCAGTAAAACAAAAGGAAAATGCATGAAGGAGTGTGCAGCTGAGGCAGTTGCTGAGCCCGGGTGGGCAGCAGGCAGCCCTGCTCCAGCGACAAGGGCAGCAAGGAGCCACCTGTGCCCACCTCCTCCTCTTTCCCCTGCCCGGGGCATGATCTGAGTGAGCACTGTGTGCTGCTGGCTCTTGGGCTGCAGTTAGTGTTGCTGCTCTCCCAGGGAAAAAACTGATCAAAAGATCAATGATTCAGTCAGGTTCTTCTGTTTTGGGGTATCCAATAAATGCAACTGTTAGCTGCACCCTGCAGAGCAACTGATCTCTTACGCTATTCTGGAGCAAGTGGGTTTTGCAGGTAGAAATCTCATCTGATTAGCTGCAAGAGCTGTCCTGTGAGTCAGTACTGGCTGGTTAGGAAACTCTTCTCTAACTGGATGGAAGCCAAAAAATTCTGTAAAGCCTTGTTTCCAGCCACATTTTTTGGGTTTGTAGCCAGAAAACCCCAGCACATCAGGAGAAAAACACTGGAAAACAAAACAGAAGATGGCTTTTGTGGTTGTCCTTTGCATTGGTGTGATCAGGGCGAGAAGGGAAGGTTTTGCTCTCACTCTGACAACTGAGTTGGGGTGGGGGAGTCTCTGGAAAGCACATATTTTTTAACTCACATAGTCAGAAAAAGAAAAAAAAATCTCTGCTTAATGCCCAGACAAGAGGCACTGGTACTAAGCCTCCTTTTCAGGAAGGAAAACATGGCAAAATTCAGGAGAAACACATGCCTGCAAAGGAGGCAGTATGAACGAATCAGAAAAGCTGAATTATAGCCCATTCTCTCCTGATGGCTTGACAAGTTCCTTCCCCCCTCTCCTCTTCATCTTTTTTCCATCCTGTCTCCACGCAGCGTTAGAGGGACAATATTTGAGCCAGGATGGCCATGAGCTATGCATCCAATGCCTCCCACAAATTAACTGCAGCCAACATGTTGCCATAGTGCAAGCACTGGATGATACTCAGGCCTCTGCAAGAGGGGTCCAGAGGAGCAGGATACTGAACACAGGCTGCAGCTGCCAACTCCTCCCTCCAATGCCACAGTATTATGCAAAATCGTCAAATGCACATCACAACAGCTATATTTCTTCCCCTGTAGAGAGGAAAATTCAGTGATGGGCCTGGATGCACCCCACACTTTATTTAATCTAACTCTCCTGACAAAGGAACATCCTCTGGGGCCAGGATCTCCTCATGCCAGGTGAGGCATAAACTCCAGCTGTACTTTGACCCTCTCCCAGGAAGAGAAATGGGGCCTAAAAGATTTTGGGATCAGAAAAGCATCAGCATTTGCCAGCCAGACATGGACAGATTCGTGATGTGACTTTCGCACTGTCACTGCAGGACTCTCAGTGCCTCTGAAGCCATTTCAGTGGCATGTCTAAGCCTGAAACACGTCACTGCCAGCACTCCCAGTGCAAGTCTGGGCTGGGTTCACAGGCTAAAGGAAAAGGTTTTTTCCACATTAAAGACTTTCTCTCTGTTGACAGCAATAAACAAGGGAAGAGAAGAGCTGATCCTGTTCCCGCAGGCCAGGTTACTCACATTTTGCAATGCTTGGGGCACATGCATGGAAGAAAATAAAAGACAGCGTACAAACATAAGAAAATCTTTCTGGGCCGGAATATCTTCCCACCTGTCCTGTCTCCAAGGGTGGCCAAGAGCAGGTGCCAGAGCAGAGCATAGGCATGAGGTAGGTAAGTCGCAATACCCACCAGAGCTTCCCCAAGCACATGGCAGTATGCAATTCAGGGCCTTTGCCTAGGCCTCCCACACTGGGTTCAAAATCCAGGGCTGTGTCCTGCTGCAGGGGTCTGCTCCAGCCCCCTTGAATGCACCTGAATCCCTCCAGCCGTGGTTGCTGGAGCCATCCCATCAGACACGTCTTCCAACCTGCTTGCCCCCACCCATCGCTACCCATGCTCCTGTCGCTTAGCACCAGTGATAAACAGGACATATCCCCTTGGCCGGGTGCCCGCCCAAGGCATGCAGGATCAAGCCTTCTCCCGAAAACCTCCTCTGGCAGCCACTTGAACAGCACCACTTGGTTTATCAGGCAGTGAGGCTATCTCTGTAGCAGAAGGACTCTTGCTTGATCAACGTCATCCTGCTAGGAAAACTGGCACGGGTCTGCCTGCCCTTTGGCGCAGATCTCTTCGCAATCCCCTTGCCTTGGCCCATGTTTCCCCCCACATTACAAAACCACTCAATCTTCAGGACAGTCATGGCTCATTGCCAAACATATGGCAGGTTTGTTGCCTGGGTTTGTCCAGCCACTTCTCCCCAGGGGCAGGGCTCCCTACCCCTGACTCCAGCCAGCTCCACAGCTATTTGCATCCAGTGCCAGTTTTCCTTTTGCTCTGGCAGATAATCTCAGCCATTGCAACCCATACTCAGCTTCTCATGAGCGCTTTCTCCAGCCCCTCTGATTTTCCAGCACCCCCTTCCAGCTGTCTGTGAGCTGAGAGAAAATCAGCTCCTCCCCACTGCACCCCACCCCACAAGATGCCTCTTTTTAAGCTGCTGTCTAATGCTTCCAGCCCACCCCACTGGGAGCTGCAGACTCCTGGGCACTTGAATCGAGGACAGTATAGGTTCTTGGCAGAAGAGGATGCTCTGATCCACAGCCAGGCTCCTGCCATGTGCCTCTGAGGGCACTTGGGCTGCAGCAGCAGGTCAGGTCCAGGACCCAGTCCTGCCCCTATACTCAGCCTGGCAGGATCACGGGGCTGACTAAAGCGACAGCAGGGTCAGGAACCTTAAACCCGGACAAATCATTTGCAGGGGGCTCAAGCAAGATGAGTAACCAGCCCTGCACAGCAGTGACCGCTACCATGCTCCATCAGCAAAGCCCGAAGCGGGGCTCCCCACGGCAAGGGAGCTGGCCACAGCCTGGCCGAGGGGGCAAAGGTGGGGACCCCGGGACCCCCAGAAGGGCAGGCAGGCTGGCTCGCCTGGAGCGCAGCGCAACGGTGGAGCGCAGTTTCCGCCGCACCCTGCCTTCACCCTTCCTGTACCCCTGCAGGAACAGCCCCAGTAGCCCTTGCCCAGGCCCGCAGGATGGCGTCCACCAGCCCGGATCGTGGCAGGACGAGCCCCGATGGCTTCCTCGTGCCACCCGTCCAGAGAGCCCTACAGTGCGTACAACCATGCGTTGAGCCCTGCCAAGGAGAGTGGATGCCAAACCTGAATTACCAGCCCAGAGAGTGGCTGTGGATCCCAGGAGCTCCTGTGATTTGCGGCAGGTTTTTCAGGTCCCTGCCTGTCACACACACACGCAGATACTTAAGCAGTCACCCAAGGACCTGCGGGGTTCTTCTTTTACACACTTCTGGTCCTTGCCAGCTCCAGGTAAGCGCAGGCTTTGAGCTGGGGGTGCTGGGGTGGATTTGCAGAGGGGGATGGGGGGGGGGGCATGGAGGGAGGAGCTGACAAGCGCTTATTGATGCTGGGGAGGTTGAAGCAGCGCCCAGTAGGGCTGTGGTGGGAAAGCTTCACGCCTGGGGCAGGGAGAGGGGCACACAGGCAGAGACCCCAGGCTGGGGGTACCACGGGGACCTGCCTCTGTTTCAGCAGCTGCTGTGCTCTTGTTTGCTTTGTTCCCATCCGATATTATCTTCTAGAAGGCTGAACGGGTAGTTTACAGGATGCCTGACAGGTGGTTTTTCCTTATTTATGGCAGGGTCTGGTTTATTTTTAAAGCCTCCGTCCCACCTTATCCTGTGCGCCATGCCAGCTGATGTTATCCACAGCCACCCCACAGCAGGAGGCCGAGCAAAGCTTGGGACAGGACATGGCTCTGCAGCAGAGCAAGGGAGGGCAGGAGGGCTCGTTTGCATTGAGAACTGCTATTTTGATCCCCACAGTGGCAGGAAATAGCTGCAAGCTAAAACCAGGCGCAGATGCCTCCAGTCGCATCCCAGCTCTGACAGTGAGGAGAGCACTGGGGAAGGGGTCAAGAAGCCCAGCAGGGGCTATGGGCCCCTGTCAGCTGGGCAGGAGCTGCTGCTCAGAGAGTTTTCCAGGGGCTTTGGGTGCAGAACACCATTAGAGAGCTGCACAGCCAGCCAGTTACTGTGTCTGCCGTTCAAAAAAGCAAAGCTGAGCAAACCAGAGATCACGTCTTTTCTGGAAAAGTGGCTGCTTTCTGCCAGGGTAGTAAATGCTGACTGCACTAGCAAGTGCTGTGCAGGCAAGCTGGGAGACAGAGAGATGTCCTCTCCCATCTCAGGCCAGAGACGGGAGCCCTGCTAGTAAGCCCAGGGTGTCTCTGGGGAGCTTGGTGCAACCACAGGACACAGGCAGTATAATTGTAGAGGGAGGTCTCTCGCCACCCCACTGGTCCTCCCTCACATCTAGGTCAGGTCACACAGGGCTTTGTCCAGCTGATTTTTAGAGATCACCAAGGATGGAAGTGCCCTGACCTCTCTGGTCCCTGTCCCCATGCTGGACCCCCCATACTATGAAGATTTTTTTTCCCCAATATCTAATAATACTTTCTCTTGCTGCAACTTGTGTCCATCAGCCATTGCCTTTTGTCTGCTCACTCCAAAATGGCCCTGGAATTGCATTTAAATGCCCCATCAGCCACACTAAGAGCACCAGATGCTACCTGCACAGCCTCCATCTACAGATCCATGCTGGCTGCAGCCGCCCACAGCAGCCCAAGCAGCCGATGAACTCCTTGCAAGCTTCAGCTGGTGGCTGCTCTCACATTGCTCCACCTAAAACCAAGACAGTTAACCAGAGCCAAGTGTGAATTCCCCAGGGCTCTTTAGCTTGACGCATAGGACAGAGCAGGTGTCACTGGTGCTGTGGTTTCACTGTGACAGTGCATCTGGCATTGTCATTTCTGCCTGGGTGAGTAACCGCCTGCCCCTGAACTTTCCTCCCTGTGCTGCCCAGGGGAGACAGCAGTGGGCATGGGACTGCTCACAGACCTGAATGATGATCACAGCCCCCCCAGCCTTTCTGAAAGCCGAATAGATGGTTTACATCGTTTGCAGTGAAAAAGCTGGTTTTTTCCCCAATGCCTGCAAAAATTTAGGCAGAAAAAAGCAGTGACCAGTGGTGCTTTTCAGCAGCTGAGCAAAACAGTTGTGATTCTCTGTATTTCTGCCAGGCTTAAATAAATGTAAGCAAGAAAATCACCTCTCCTGTACAGGGGAGAGGTCCTGTGCAGCCTGAAGGCCAGGATCCAGGCCTGGGCTTAAACAGGGCTCCACTTAAGTAGCAGGTAGGTGAGTAATGGTAAATACAGCCAGTCAGGACATTTAGGGACTCCTGGTGCCCTCAAGTCCTGTCATATACCCCCAATTTTTAGCACCCAAGAGGTGCCAAGTGCTGGGTCCCACATGCTGCACAGGGCCACATGGCTCCTGAAAACCTCCAGGGCCCAGTGGAGCGATGTGGGGAGACCTACAGAGCCCTCCAGGACCCCCAGGGTTTTGACCTTTTCCTGAAGGCCATCTCAAAGCCTTGAGAGGTAGAAACTCTTCTCCCTCCAGAGCAGGGGTAGAGGGGATACAAGGAAAACCATCAGGCATCACATCCTTCCTGCATGCTGGGGCACCCTGAGCTGCCAGCAGGCAGAAGATACTGTGTCCTACAGGGAAACGCCTTAGGAACCTGGAGATTATCAGAAACAAAAACAGCCTGCAGATGAAAGTTGAAGCACGTGTTCCCTATGCAAATCAATGCACACACATTAATGTACGTTAATGCAGCAGGCTGCAAACAATGATTTATGAACCACCAGGACATGTTGCTGCTGGTGGCCCAGGCTAGATGCATGATCCAGAGGTGATGAGGGGCCCTGTGGCGACTGAGCTTTCTAGGAGAGGGGCAGGTGGCTCAGTGGGGTGCTGATCAAGGAGGAGAGGAAGGACTTGTGGCCTGAGCTTGGCCTCATCGGCACTTTGACCTCATGGAGAACCTGGCAGCCACAGTGCTGGAGAGCAGCACCTCAAGTCCAGGGGATCTCCTTCTCCCCCTGCATCTTTTCCAGAGGTCTCCAAATGCCCAAGGCAGGTGAGCAGCATTCACCTGGCCCCCACCAGCTCACACGCATGAGGGACTGAACTTTGTCTGCCCACTCCCTATATGGACACCTCTGAACTGAGCTGATGCCAGGAAAGCCCAGGCAGCTGCTGCCACACACCTGTGGCCACAACACTCTGCAGACAAGGCCAGCTAGGCTTGCAGCACCTGGGGTTAAAGATGGTCTTTCTCCAGTCCATCCAGGGGTGGTGGATGATGCCGTCCACCAGCGCACTCCATCACACAGAGATGTGCCCCGGCCTTACGCAACCCCTCTGTTACAATCTGTATTTACCAAGTGACTCAAGCAGAGTGGGCTGTTTCACAACCAGCTCTGGTCTATTTATAAGCCCCTACTCAAATGCCAAGGGATCCTTTTGTTGGTAAAAGCACCTCCTGCAGACAAGGCTCAGTTGGACCTTTGCTTTTCAAGGTAAAGCTCAAAGAAGAGGATCTCTCCAGCCTCTCGTGAATAGCAGAGCTGGCTCTCTGCAAGCTGCAAGGCAGTTTTGGAGCTGAGCCTCATCCCAGCAGTGCTGTCAGCAAGTGAGAGCCCTGGGGCATTCAGTACACCCCAGGGTACCGAGTGGGTTAAGGTCAGTTATCCATCAACCAGGAAAGCAGTTGGGTTTAAAGCTAAGCAGTAGGGGTGCTACACGATGGAGGTGCCTGGGTTACATCCCAGAGCCAAAGGGAAGGAGAAGCTGGACTACAAGGTGGAGGCAGGGCAGGTCTGCAGCGGATGGCCCACAGGAGTCCCAAGGCGGGCCAAGGGCTCCTGGCAGCACTGGAGAGCCAGCAACCAGCAACCAGCCTGCCTGACTGACAGAGACAGGCCAAGCAACTCGGACAAGCAGGAGAGCAGATCAAGAAAGGCCACATTTTTGCATCCAGCTCCTCCCCCGCCAACACCCCACAGCTTGGTTTCGGAAACACCAAAATGATTCAGTGTCAAGGGACTTCTGCATGCTTTGTGGGGGCAATGCCTCGTGTTTCAGTTGACCCAACTGGCAGGCTTGACCCTCTGCCACGCAGGAGAAAACTTGGACCCCTGCAGAAGAGAGGTGTGGGACCTACCCAAGGTGTAGTTAACTTGTTTTGCATGTGCTTTTGTGCCAGATCTGCCAGAGGTTTGTGCAAAGCACAAGTGGGACAAATGTTACTCTGGAGAAGAATGTGGGTTCCTTACTTCTGCCGTTGCTGGGAGCACCTAGCACTGATCACAGCCAAAGGCAGTGAGTGCTTGAGCAACAGACATGCACGAGGTACGGTCCTCCGAGGACTGACCCTTCACTTATACACTGAGAAACAAACAAACAAACAGTTCAGCCACGCTCAGGAACAACCAGACTAATTGTTTATGCCCATGCAAGATAACATTAAACATTAGGAAACACAAAGCAGCTCACCTGCTCACCACCAGCTTTCTGTGATGCCTGGCCATGCTGCTAGGAGGAGGACCAGGACACTGATCAGGAGGGAAGATGGGGAGATTGATGGGTCCAAGCCCATGCTCCCAAAAGATCCTGCATCCTCTGGTTTGTGATTCCCCTGCAAAAACTTGCCTGGTTGCTGGGGATAAAGAAAAAAAAAAACCAACAAAAAAACCAAACCACTAGGCTGGATGCCAGATACTGTCCCCTCGCCCAGAGGATAAATAATGTTTTTTAATTCATGTCTTTAAATTAACCCCCTCAACATGCCCGTTGCTGTGACATCACTCCCAAGTGACGCCCAGGCCTAAATACGGCTGTAAACAGGAATCGTCCCCATGGGAGTCATGCTGGCTATAAATACAGCACCAGGGGAGTGCTGAGCAGAGGACAGGCTGCAGTCTCCTGCCAGCTAAGGATGGTGAGACAGCTCAGCTGGGCGCCGTTGGCATCCGGTTGCCACAGTGGGGAAACTGAGGCAGAAGTTGCTGGGGGGCTGGGGCTCCCGGCTGAGCTCCCCAGCATGCCTTTGGGAAGAGAGTTGTGCCCTGCCACGGCCAGAGGCCACTGGGGAGGGGGGAGCTGCTGGGGATGGGGATGGCAAATCTGGGGCTCAGCAAGTGTGGCCCCACTGGCCACTCCCATCTTGGGCAATGACGCTGGCCCCTCTCCGCAGTGCCTGGCCCCATAGCCCTACCCCAAGAGGAGATGGCCACGGAGAAGCCAGTGACTCCCACTGAGGAGCAGCTGGAGATCCTGGAGTACAACTTCTGCAAGGTGAACAAGCATCCTGACCCCACCACGCTGTGCCTCATCGCGGCCGAGACCGGGCTCTCCGAGGAGCAGACCCTGGTGAGCGTGCACCCATCACCCCCGCCTTGGCACCAGCCCTGCTCCCCCTGCATGCCTCTGTGCCCCACACACTCTCCCTACATCTCCTGCCTGTCCTGTCCCCGGCTCTCTATCATACCCCCTGCACTCTTCTGTCCCCCCACATGCTTCCTACTGCACCCCCTGCACCCCTTGGTGGCCCATAGGCTCCCTACTTGCACTCTGCATCCCACACTGCACCCACAAGTCTCCTTTGCACCTCTGCAACTCCCAGTGCACCCCTAACCCCACACTGCACCCACAGAACTCCACTGCACCACCCTGCACCCCACATGTTCCTGCCCCTGCATCCCCAAAGCCCCTCCCCCTGTAATCGCAGCCCCTTCATCCCAAAGCCATGGCCTCCCGCACAGCAGCCCAGTGCCCCACTGGGATCCTTGTGTCCCTACCCCGCCCAAGAGCCCCATCCCCAGCCTGGGCTTGGAGACCAGGCTGGTGCTTCCCACAGCCAGACCAAGGGCACACCCCAAAGGTCACTGGCTGCCTGTGGAGCCCTGAACATACAACACGTGCACGCTGTCCTTTCCTTCCAACCCATTGTTGATAGTGTCGGGTGCCCAAACCATTGCTGACTTTATGGTCTGAAGAAACTACAGACATTTTAAAACAGATATGGGATAGATGCAACTCCTGCAGGATGTGCTGTGGGACATGCTCAGGCTGTGTGCGCTCCCCCTCACTGCAGTTAGCTACTTCAGCAGCCCTAAGCCCAGATGTCAGGCAAGTCTGTCAGCCTCTCCAGGAGACACAGAGGCCTCCAAATGTTCCTCCACAGGGACAGGCTGGGACTTCCACTGAGCCCTGTGCTCCGTCTGGCTACCTGCAGGCTACCCTGGGCTTCAGAAGCAAACAGTTCCTTCCCAGTTCCTTCAGGATGCAGTGCAGCCGGTTTTGATGCAAGTGTTTTATAAGCTACTAGACCCATAGCAGTGTTGATGGGTATAGAAATGAAATCCAACCCTCTGAAAAGTTAGCAGCATTTTGCAGAAAGCTGCCAAGCCTGGTTCTCCCTGGACAAAGCCAAAGGGATATAAGAGCTGAGCAGGCAATGCCAGCAGGTAGCCTGTCCCAGGGAAGGATGCTGGTGTAACATCCATTGCACTGATAGTCCTTGGCTGGAGTGGGAAAGGAGACCCCTCCTCTACTGTGCTTTGGTGATAGGCCAGGTACCACTGCTTGTTTGAGGCAGCAAGGAGGTAGTACCCCTGAAATACCTTTTCCTCCTTAGAAATGGCACTGCTGTATTTTTTTTTTTCTAAAGCAAATTGTAAAAACAGGCCATATATGCCCAGTACACCTCTGGAGATGTCTTAAAATCTTCCCTAATAACCATCTTTTTCCATAAGTCAAGGGTGCTTCTAGAGATCTGGAGATGAAGGTCATGTTAGGGACAGGATGGAGACTGGGATGGTGAGCTGCAAAGTGCCTGCATTGCGTACGACACAGAGAATCATTGCTCCTGACATCTGGAGTGTTTTATTGGCTAGATATAGCAACCATTTTAATAAAAAATTTAGTAAAAATTAGATGTAAAGAGGTACTGAGTCAACAGGAGATGATGGTTTAGGACAGGAAGTGACATTTTTGGGAGGAGGCTAGGAAGGCAATCATCTGACTGGATGTGGTCCAAGGCAGTGCTAGTGCAAGAGCGCCGTGGTTGTATCATTACGGACCACAATAGCTTCAAAAATAGCCATGAACAAACATAGCAACAAAATGAGCAGCAACAAAGCAAATCACAGGCACATTTCCAAACAAAAAGCTGAGCTGTGCTTCCGGCACATATGAGTTATATCTCTCTTCTTACAGAGGTAGTGTGGCTTTATCCAGCTGCATTTTATCTAACGTTTGAAACTGCAGCAGTGTTGAAGTGGCATCAGCAGCTCTGAGAGTTGGCTTAGAGATGCTAAGTTACTACAGAATAACATAGCCATGCATATTGCTTGGAGACTAAGATAATTTTTAACTCATTTTTTTAAAACTGTTTGTTCTTAAATTTGTTGAGAGCCACTGTGTTGTGGCTTTCTGAAGCAGGTCAGCTTTTGATTCCTGTCGTTTTTGGACCTGCAGTGATCATTTCACTGCTCCAGCCATTTAAACAGACCATCCAACAGCAACTTAGCCAATCTCTTAACCTGTTTGCAAGAAAAACCTGGACTCACAGCAATAAAATGAGAACTCACCCATGCTGTCAAGGTCTGAAGCGAGCAAGACAAATGAAAGAGGTGCACATGTAGGTAACAAGACCGTTCAGTCAGAAGCGGCTGTCCTGCTGCCCATACTGCCGGGGAACAGTGCAGCGCCTTGCCAGAAGACAGCAGTACTGTGACTTTCCCTCGCCTGCTCCGATGTGGTGATCACATCTGCACTTTTAGCAAGGTTATTTGGAGGTTTTGCTCAGCCTAGTGCACTCAATCTCTGTTTTGTTTTTTCCTCCAGAAATGGTTCAAGCAGCGCCTGGCAGAGTGGAGGAAGTCTGAAGGGCTGCCCTCAGAAAGCGGGTCTGTCAGGGACTAGAGGATGCTGCTCTGATCCCCATGCCTGCTGTAAATGATGGTGAAGCTCTTCAGAGTGGGTTTCCTTGAGGTTCTTCTGTTGCAATAGGTTTTGAGATACAAAGTAATACCCTGCTATTTAACATAAGTTTTATTTAAAGTGTACAGAACCAGGAAAAAAATGTTACATATATATGCTTATACAGCTTCTGGTGGCTGCATAGCCTGTCTAGCGATTCCCATCCATTTTAACAGCAGCTGCAGAGGGCAAGGCAATCTCATGCCCTTGTCCCAGGCTTGCAGAAAAGCTGCCATGAAAGGTTCAAACATAGAAGGGGGGAGGGGGGGGAATTTGTTTTCCTTATGATCCCCAGAGGCAAAGTATGTGAGCTAGCTTCAATATACAGATCATCCAGAGAGGAGGGAACCTGGAAAACCAGATGTGTTGTTCAGGTGATCCTGGTTAGCTCAAGATGCCCGAGTCAGCTATGGATATTGGCAAACCAAGTGCCTACACCATAATCAGACCAAGCCAAGCCCCCCCGAATGCATTTCTCACATTTCTGTTAAAGGTCACCAGAGGGAAAGAACTGGTCTTTTTTTTTTCCCCCAAGGCATAAATAAAAAACCAATATTTTTTTTTATGAAAGGAGCTGTGTTATGTCCCTACTTGTCCTCCCTCCCCAATGGCAGGAGGCAGACTCCTTCCTGAGGGAACGCAACACTTCTCCAAGGCAGCCTCAGTGGGCACCGTGAGTTTTCCCTCTTGCCACAGGGATAGCTCGCAGACATGGGCAACCTCCTCTTCTAGGGCACCCATGGGTCCATCCATGGCAGCCCACACAGCCCCACACACACCCCAAGCCCCAAGGTGGCAGAGGCTGGGGGTGCTGGGGTTCGCCTGCAGGGTGGCGGGGGGGCAAACCCCAGCCTTCTTCTGGCTATTCTCAAGCCTGAGGGATGTAGTTGCGCTGGGGGTCTAGCACAAAGCCCAAACTCTCATCCATCCTGGTACAGGACAACTCATGGGCTAAAAAATAACGAGCACCATTGCCCAGTGACCTTACCTTGTTCAAAAGGGTTCAAAAATCCTCTGCTTAGTGGATTATTGAATCAATTAGTGGATCCTCTTCTGGTTTGTGGTCACCTGCCTCTACTCCTTTAGAAGGAGAATCAACCTAACAGAGGGAAGATGAAGATACACTGGCACTGAAACTGCCACATGCTTTCATTTATGGCTTTTGTCCCTTGCTGGAGAGGATCTCTCTTGCCTCAGTATCTCCAGCCCATCGCCAGTGGCTGGGCTGCCAGGGCAAAGCACACTGAACCTGCAGGAAACAGATAAAAGCAATCTCCCTGTGCAGTTCCCACACAGGTTGTGTTGTTCCCCTGCAGTCCAGCTGTCAAACTGACTCACCCTCAGACCCAACTGGAGCTCAGAGTTTGTTCTGCAGAGTCCGGCACCGATATCTGTTTTGTTCTTAGTCTTTGCAATGTACCTTCTCCCTTACATTGAGGAGAACTCTGCTTTTTTCAGTTAGGCTCCAAAGATCCCAATGCAGAGCTCCATTATTTTGCCCAGGGTCACAAAACTGAGTATCTGAACCGCACAGATTTAACCCACCTGTGTAACTTGTATCAAAGATGCATGCAAAGCAAAAGGCTGGATCTTCCCATTCTCCAGGCATTCGAGAAAACAGGCCCCAAATCCAAGCCAACTCAACGCACATGCCACCCCAGCATTTCCTAAGTCTGTACTAAAGCTTTGCACCTTAACAAATCCAGCCCTGGATCTGGAATTTTGCAGCCTTTTGTGTTTCTACTTCTGTCACAAGCACAAAACTTTGAGTGCCACTAAGAAGCCCTCTAAACTTTAGCAAAAATTTTGAAACCCAAGGTCAGGAGTTGTGTTGCATCAACCTACTGTGCACCGTCAGCTTTGGTTTGCCACACTTCTTTACATGAAAGAACAGTTCCTGTGCTGGCTTCCCCCAGCAGCTGTTTCATTACTTCTTTAACTATTGCAGCAAAAAAACCAAGAAGAGTGATAAACTCCAGACATAACCCATCCTAGGGAGAGAGGCTTCCCACATTAGGTCAAATTCTGCTCGTTTTCCCCCAGTGACTATTTTGTTCTTAAGGAATGACCATTTTATTTAAGTCCCCAGATAAGCCCAGTAAAAGTGGCTGCTCGTAAGGAAGTGTTCCTCCTGGGTGCTGCCTCTGTGCAGTGTTCAAGGAGGTTTTCCAGCCACAGCACAGCCCGAAGAGGGTGATGTTCCACGGGGTGATGGGGCAGCTGGCACGAGCAGCGGGCTGTGTGTCTGAGGGAGCTCAGCGCTTAATCGGACGAGCCAGTTCTTTGATCCGAGCAGAACAAGTTGCCTTCTTAGCAGTCTCCTTCACTGTGAACGTGTCTGGGTTGAATTGAGCTGAGACCATAGGAGGCCTGGGGGAGCAAGGACAGAGCCAGTCAATTCCGACTGGAGCAGGGCCAGCTCTCAAATCTGCCTGTCAGCCGACACACCACCTGAGCCCTGCCCTTCCCTGTCAAGGGGGAACAAAAGCAGTCATGCCTCTGCTGCTGTCACCAAGACACTAGTGAGAGGGGATGCCCCATCTCTCACCGAAGCTGTCGCAGCCATTACAGCCAGGCATTCCCTCATCCTCTGTGAAATATCCTACCCAACATTTCCTGCAGCCCAGGCTGAGGCCAGCTGCATCACACTGGGCAACATCAATGTGCTACACTGTGCCATGTGTCAGCTGGTTGCTTTTTATAATTGCAATTAATAATTAAGAAGTCCCAACCAGTAATTCCTATTGGAATTCGAAAGGTCCTATTTCTTCTCTTTTGATTCTCCTTCCATCTCAAAAATGCTTTTTAAACCACAATCCCTGTAGCATTAGCACATCCAGCCATATAAAATCCATGTATTTTAGAAGTGGAAGAGCAGTGGCTTAATCACACTGGCCAAACCCAAATCAACAAGGTACCACGGTCTGCACAAAATGGGCTGACAGCTGGTATTTCCCCATGGCAGGAAAGCAGCACCTACCTTCTGCAGGGCTGGGCCAGTTCCACAAGCCTTGGCGTGGTCACCGTGCGCTTTGCAGCCTTCGTCACTGGCCACTCAGCATCTCACAGGGGCACATAGTCAGGATGCAATCTTTTTGCTCTAGCCAGCTCCAGGGTCCGAGGGCTCGCAATTGCCTCCTGAGCCAACTTGGAAACCTGTGGAAGAATGGGGAGAAAGGTCCTTACAGGTGCCCCTGGCATTCAAGAGTGACCAACTGGCAACTCAGTGTACCCAGGTTCACAGCTGCTGACCACACGCAGATGGGACACAATCCTGTCCACAGCTGTGTCTGGCATCAGACAAGCTGTGGAAGGAGAAATCAGTGCCTGGCCAGTCCCAAAACCTGCCCTCCAGCCCCGTCTTACTCGTAGCCCTTCGTCCAACCCATCCCCCAGCACTGGAGATCCCAATTACACACTTGCCCATCCCCACAACTGCAGGCTAGGCACAGGTCTGCTCTTCCCTGGGGATGTCTGCTGGGAGTCAGTTCATGCTCTGGATGGAGGACGAGTCCCGCTCCTCAGCCCAGGAAGCAGCTATGTCAGCCCCACAGACAGCAGCACATCCAGGGCTGCCAGGAAGAGAGCCACCAGCGACTGATCACCCATGCCCTCCCCACTGCCCGGTGCCCCTGTCACACACGGTGCCGGGTGATGCTGCCTTACCGGACGAATGACAGATTCAGGAAAGCTGCACTCATAGCAGCAGGTCACCTTCCTGACCCGGGGCTCTGCGAGACACTGTAACCACGAGGATGCTCTGGCCACGGCCGCAGCATTTGTAACCTTTGTTGGCACCTGCATGGGTTCAGAATGGGGGAGGGATGTGCTGACACAGGTCGTCCATAGCAGCCCACAGGGACACAGTCCCTCTCCAAAGGGGTGCGCACCCAGCACCCTTCCTCTGCAGACATGCTCACAAGAAGAAGAACTCTTACTTTCCCAGCACCCATTACACTTCTTTCACCTGAACTATAAGGTAATTTTGGCGCTATTGGGATTTGTATGTCAGATAAATGCCTGTAATGAGAGCCTGTGTAGCCAGGTAAACATGCAGAGAAATTTCTTCCAGAGTAATGTTTTTCATACTCATCTTCCTGTCTGAATCAAATAATTTCCCTGCTAAGGATAGACACTTAGATTTCAGGGTAAAAGTGCTGGTGCAGTTAACTGCATTCCTACAGCAAAAGTGATTACTGCTGCAGGACAGGACTTCTTCCCCTATTTTTCATAGGGTTACTGATGCCAGAGCCTGCTCCAGCACAGCCTCCCTTATTTCCCAGCCCAGAGACTGCAGCCAGAAAACCTAGCCTTTGCCGTGGAAATGAGTGTAATCTGAGATTGCCCCTGTCATGGTTTAACCCCAGCCAGCAACTAAGCACCATGCAGCCGCTCACTCACTCCCCCCCATCCAGTGGGATGGGGGAGAAAATCGGGGAAAAAAGAAGTAAAACTCCTGGGTTGAGATAAGAACAGTTTAATAGAACAGAAAAGAAGAAACTAATAATGATAATGATAACACTAATAAAATGACAACAGTAGTAATAAAAGGATTGGAATGTACAAATGATGTGCAGGGCAATTGCTCACCACCTGCTGACCAACACCCAGCTAGTCCTGGAGCAGCAATTCCCTGCCCCCACTTCCCAGTTCCTATACTAGATGGGACATCACATGGTATGGAATACACAGTTGGCCAGTTTGGGTCAGGTGCCCTGGCTGTGTCCTGTGCCAACTCCTTGTGCCCTGGCTGGGCATGAGAAGCTGAAAAATCCTTGACTTTAGACTAAACATTACTGAGCAACAGCGGAAAACATCAGTGTTATCAACATTCTTCACATACTGAACTCAAAACATAGCACTGTACCAGCTACTAGGAAGACAGTTAACTCTATCCCAGCTGAAACCAGGACAGCAGGCCAAGCCCCTTCACCCCTGCCAAACCAATGACCCGCCTAAAAGGAGCAAGTTCAGAAATAGGTCTCTAAATTAGGCTTCTGGTAAAACACTGATAAAACATACATAGTGCTTGCAGGCTCATGCCCCCTATATACACAGTGAGGAGCACAGCTGCCCAACTACGAACACGACTGTACTCCCTAGGAGCTAAACAGGCCATTCCCATCAGGTTTCTCCACTTTCCCAGGCTGCTTGATCAGGGGATGCCTCCCTTGGCTCTCCTGCTATTCTAGGCTGCTCCAGCCTGGCTGTTTTCTGTCTCTCAGCAAGGAGATTTTCAAAGACCGCATCTCACTCCAAAAAGGCAGTTTCTCTCAGTATCACAAATCCCAGCAGAACCAGACAGCTTCTCCCCTCCATAGCACACACTGGGCATATCCCAGGGCAGGACACAGGGTGCAAAAACTCAGGACAGTTTGCTGCATCACTGTCCCCTCCAAATCTCACTCAACCACCTCCTCACCTCTCTGGCCAGCAGGAACTCTGGGTGCAGCGCCTTTGGTCAGGCAAGCTCCAGGATCCGTGGGGAGGCCTTATAGCTCAGTGCAGCTGGCGATACGGGCCACTCAGGGGACTGGCGAGGTCTGGAAGCAGAGAGTCATGGCACCACCACTCGCAGATATTCCTCCACACAGGTTGAACCAGGATGCAGCTGGGATGTTTAAGCCTCATGCTTGCTGCAGTAGAAGGCAGCTTTGTCTTGCGGCCATTTCCAGTGTAGAACCCACTCAGCCCATGAGAGAGTCCAGAGGTCCTAATCTCAGCATAGTTCCTGCTCTGCATTTTGCCCTCTGTTACACCCATCATCTGTTCCTGTATTTATTACTTTGAAGCTGCACTGATGCTACAAGACCCAAGGGCCTCCCTATAGCATCCAACAGGCTTTCTGGCCTCTCACCTTTGCTGCAGATAAGCAGCCTGGTATTTTTTCGGTTCAGACAACTTCAGCAGCCAATCAGAAGGGAAGCCAAAATCCACTAGCGGGGGACGCTCCCAGATCGTTGATTCCCGTCCACAGCCGTACAAGAAGAGGGATCTTGAGGAACAGCACAGAAGAGTTAGTAAAAGGCAACTGACAGAGAACATGATCCTGGCAGATGGTATCCTAAGTCTGGTTAAACATCTGTGCCTGCTGCATGTACAAAAGTTGGCACCAGTGTACATGGAAAAGCCATGAACAAATGGGCACTTACACTTGCGATTTCCTGACTTTAAAGGTAAATGCTGTTTGCATATGCAGAGTCCTCTTTCCAGCACCCTCAGTGCATTGCTTTCAAAGTCTAGGCCTTTCCCTGGACCATTTCAAGAAGCCACTCCACAACACAAACCTGGCAGCACCTCTGTTGTTAAGCTCTGCCAATTTAGAAAGCTCTTTGTTGCAATGGCTTAATAGCACCTTGTGCTCTTGCAGCTCTTTTCATCTTGGGATCTCCCCAGGCTTGCCTAGTGCATGCTCATCCAGCTTTCCATCAGCCACTACTGTTGGAAGATGCCTGTCATCACCAGGGAGAAGGTGAGCAGAAAGGCAGGAAGGGCTGTCAGACAGACACCGTTAGTCAGAGGCAGAAGGTCTCAGGAGGATAAGAGCCCCTGAACTGATGACAGTGACAGAGGAGGGAAAACTACAGACAGGCATGTCTTGACATTCCTCCAGGTAGAGGAAAGCCAGGAGTGCAACACAGTTTCATCTCCATTCTCATTGCTAGGACTTCTTACAGACTAGCAATCACCATTCTGTCTCCAAAAGAGCTTCATCCCCTCCAACAGAGCTACAGATGAGTTGCTTCAAGTAATGTGGCATCACCCAGCACCACTGAAGTTTACATTTTTTACACCATTTCTCACTCCTATTCCCAAACATGGGACTAGTATTTCACCATGCAGTGACAGCAGAGGTTTAACTCAAGGCAAAAGACCTGGATTCCTTCCAGCCAGCAGGATGCTGCAAGATTTCTCTGTTCATAACACTTCCTAACCTTTAACCTCAAGATTTAGGCCAGGCTCCAAGAGGATCCAAGGGATCACTGATTGTGTCCAGGTGCCTGGCTGGGCTGCATCAGCCCCAATACAGACAGGGAACACTCTAGGGACAGACAGTCCCTCTGTACACACAGGTGTGACACATACATGTTTCCACCAAGGCATGCATGCATGCACATGATGTCTCTGCTTCCAAGCCAAAGCAGAGCTGTTGGTTGTGGTTTTGGTTTGGGTTTCTTTTTGTTACAGCAGAGGAACATGCTCCCATGTGCTTGGAGACTGAGATCAAGGTGAGATCAAGGCTGGCTCCTATGGCAGCTGATCCAAACCCAGAGCTCTAATCAGACCAGCAACCACCACATGTTGCAGAAGCCCTTCCCACAGCCAGGAAGTGGGTGTGAGGAAATAAAAGGGCACCAAAAGTTAGCACCCCCCAGTTCCTCCTCACTTTGGAAGTCAAGCGGTCAGGGCAACTATGTTCCCATAGCACTTTCTTCCCTGCTACAGACAGCCCCTGTTCCAAGCACCAGTACAGCCTGGTGGGTCTCAGTGGCATGGAGCTCCCTGTGGTGCAGCAGTGGCAGGAGATGAGATAGCATCTCCCCTTCCCCTGGGAGCCAGCACTTCCCCCTGATTAGATAGCACTCTCTGAGCTGCCTCTTTCCCTAGGATCTGCTACCACATCACTGACCTGCACTGGTTCTTGCCAAAACCTTGCCTGGGCTTGGCCAGTGCCACTGTTCTTGGGGATGGTTGAGCTGTCACAGCACGCCATGAGAGGGTCCAGATTGTCTCTTGGTTTCCCCACACGAGCCTAGGAAGAACAGCAAGGGCATGAAATTTTAGAAACATGCACAAGTGTGAAATGTGTTTGCTGGGGTTATCCTTCCCTGCCTAGGATGGGACACGCACACGGTTCCTACGGCTCCCCACAGCTGTAAAGTGCCGCTGCCATGCCCTAAGCCCTCACCTTCTCTGGTACGGAATTTCCTAACGCTGTCCAGGTGATTGCTGTCAACTCAAAAAGAAAAGAGCCTTCAAGTGATGAGTCTGGTTGTACAGTTCCCAGTGGATGTGCAGAAAGGGTCATTTCACTAAATCTCTGAAACCCCTGGGGGAGTTTCATGATTGCATTTTTCTTGCCTCACCATTACCACCTAACTATACCACAGGTATGACAGTAAAAATAATAATAATACTGTTACGGTCAGGGTGTGCCATGGAAAGTGGGTGCGGTTTTGCAGCATGTTAGTGGTTACTCTCCTGTGCCCAGGGCAAATTTGGAGTTGCTCATCCCCCATTGAGAGAGAGGCCATAGTGGGAGAGGGTACCAGGGTAGTCAGGACAGGGAACAGCAGGGCGATGGGTTTGTGGAGCCTTTTTCAAGCACAGCGACTCCTATCCAGACAATGGAGAAGAGACGTTATGAAGAGACTGTTGCCCTGGCTTGTCAAGCTATAGGTTGACTGTGCAACGCAGACAGCAACTCTGTTCCTAAAGCTGGACTGCGTCCTCCAGGATACAGCAGCCTGTTGCTCCAATGAGGTCTGGTCTCCTTGCAGCACAGCACCAGCCTACCCCACAACATCTCAGTGGGGCAGCAAAGGCAAGACTCATGTCAAGCCCAGGTTTTGGATTGAAACAAGAAAGAGCAAATTGAAGAGAGCCCCTCACTCACTGAACATCTCAATCTGTTTTTTTGGAGCCACTTCTGCTCTTGAGAGGAAAGCAGTAGCAAGACAAAGGCAAAGGCTCTGCACTGGCTGAGGCCTCATCAGTCCCCCAGCCCTCGATCCATGACTCTCTGGGTGCCTCCTTACCTGGGATCATTTGCACAAGCTGCTTTCTTGGGTTCTGCAAGTTCTCGTATCCTGTCAAAATTGCAAAAAAGGGCAGACATGCCATTAAACATACAGTTAAACCAACAAAGCGTAAAGAAGCTACTGCTGTACTCAAAGCCATATAACACACTCTCCAACACCCATGCCTTTGCCTCCATCCCTTGCGAGAGTGCATTAAAGGGATCTCTGTCTCTCCAAGTTACTTTCCATCCATTTAATCTGGTGAATTCACCAGCCCATGGATTTTTGTGCTCTCTCTTGGATTGCAGAGACACAAATTTGCAATTCTGCCCTCACTGCGGGGTCCCTTTGGGACATGGCAGAGGGAGAAGATAATTTTCTGGTTAATAACATGCCACGTAACCCCAGAAGGTAGAAGATGGATATCTCCCAGCCTACAGGAGCCCAGATGAACAGAAACACCTGTTATCAACACTCTTGTTGTTTACTAAAAGGCACCACAGAGACAGCACTGTTCCCACATGGCTTTAGGAGCACAGATGAAGACATGTTTTTTTATTTATCATTTTATTTCAGTCCATTTAGCACAAAGGTCTTAGACACTATAGAGACACAGGAATATACATGGTCTGTGCCCTAGGAGCAGCACTGAAATTGTTTTTACTGAATATTCATCAGACCAAAACCTTTCAGGAAGATCAGATATAGCTGCCTGCTCCTCTTCTCAAGTGTCCCAGGCCTGAAATCCCAGTGGCTGGGAAGCACTTGTGCTTTGTGAGCCTGGGTGCAAAGAGAAGGATGAGGCGATGCCAATGCCACAAGTGCGTTGCAGAATTCCCTGGTGTCACGGACCAAGCCCACATCCACCCACTGGGGCTGCAGGTGCCTGCCCCCAGCCAGCTGGGGGACAACCACACGATGCGGGCAGCTGTGGAAGTGCCCCACCATGGAAAAGCCTGGGGCATTGCTTCCCTGCTTAGTATCACCCGGCAATAGGGCATCATAGCCCTAGAGAGGAGCAGGGACACCCACAGAAATGTTTGCTGACATAAAGCAGTCTGTGCTTTGGGGACACACCTGTGGTTTCTCTGATGGGGCCAATACCTCTAGTGAGATGCTGAGCCCCAGAAAACACTTGCCAGAGAGCTCAGCGCCGCAGAGACCATTGCAATGGCCGGCTGCTGTTAGAGCATCCTCACCACACGCTCCCCGAGAGATGCCCACCGATGTTATCTCCCCATCATGCCCAACCGCTGGTCACGACACTGCAAACACAGCTTCCACTGAGGTCCTGCAGAGGGAACTGCCTGTAGGACTTTGGCCCCCTGCCGCCAGTTCAGGATGGGACACGCTCAGGAAGGCAGCCATCATTTCAGGAGCCAAAAAGCAGTTTCAGCTGTTCATTCCCAAGTGGCTCCCCAGAGGCTTTTGCTCGCAAAGGTGCGAGGGGGTGAAGGATTACCACGTGGAGGTCCGCCCCAGCCTAGCTGCGCCGCAGAGCTGGCAGCTTCTCTCTGCAGGCAGGCTCGTCACTTTTCCTCTACTGCTGGCACAGATCCACCGTGTAGCCACAGCCAAACCTAGCACAGTGCACACGTGGCCCTAGTGCCCCACATCGCTGGCTTGGACACTGCTGTGCAAACCTTGCATCATGACCCAGCCAAGGGACGAGTAACACATTATCTCCAAATTAGGTCCCTCAACTCACTTGACAATCATTAAGTTTTGTTTCCCCCAATTACAAAAAAAAAAAATGACCTTCTACTCTTTTATGATGGCAAAAGCTACAGACAGACCGGCATCCCCACACAGGACGCATCTGCAGCAGATCTGCAACTTGAAAGAGTTAGGCCACCTCACTGACAAGGGGACAGTCCTGTGAGAGCCTTTGCCGTTTGGTCCCAGTGGGGAAAAAGAGGCCTCGCTGCAGCCAGCCGAAGAAACACCTCCCCTGCGCCGCCTGAGCTCACACAGACTCATCGCTTAAGGGGGGGGTCAACTCCCTTTGAGATCAATTCCTTGTAAAGCAAAGGGTCACAGACAGACGTTGCTTGTCATGAGAAGCAGGGGGAAGGGCAAAACCTGGCATCATTTTCTCTGTGTGTTATCACAGTGTCACCCGCTGTGGTATTGACTCGCCACTCGGAGTAAATCCCCGACCCCAAGAGAGGTGGGGCACGGCGTGGACACCCAAGCAGCAGGCCAGGGCCGGGAGGGTTTCTTACCTGTCGCGTGAGCAGGCAGGCAAGGAATGAGAAACTGCAAAGACAAGAAGAGGTGAATTTAAATGCTGGGCAACACCTGCAGCCTGGACTGCCCGCTCTTCAGGGCGACACAGTCACAAGGCGTGTGAAGCTTGTGCATCTCCTTAGGATACGACTGCCTGGCAGTTCTCCGCACCGTTTTTCCCGGTGCCGCGGCACAGCGATGCACCGGCACGCCGTGAGGGGCTCCGCATCCACGGCCGGGCGCTGGCAGCCCCTGAGCCTGCGGGACGGAGCACCCCCAGCACCACCTCCCCTCACCAGCATCCTCCACCGCCGCCTGGGACGAGCACCGGCGGCCGCTGCTGACTTGCGGGCGCCATTTCGGGGAGCCACGTGCCCTCATGAGCGGCAACGGCCCCGCAACGGGCTGGCGCCGCTCGGCCCGGCGGGCACTCC